GATAGATGATAGATATAGATAGATAGATAGATAGATAGATGATAGATAGATAGATAGATTGATAGAGAGCTTATATACAACTTTTATTTAATTTAAATATTCTAAATAAATATTTAATTTAAAATTGTTTATACTTTTTAGTACCTTATAAAATAAACAATATATACAGAGCTGAAAATCTTATATTTTATTTTTAAAGTATACATGCATTTATATTTTATAGAAAGTAAATAAGTCTATACTGGTTTCCTCCTCTGCTCCTGTGCAGGTTTCCTATGTGAAGGCCATAGACGTCTGGATGGCGGTGTGTTTGCTGTTCGTCTTCGCCGCTCTGCTGGAATACGCCGGCGTTAACTTCGTCTCCAGACAGCAGAAGGAGTTTCTGCGGCTGAAACGAAGACAGAGACGAAATCAGAAGGTGCCGAAACACTGACAGACGCATTTATGATTGGGGCTTCACAGGGTTCAAGCATCTTTAGTTTGAAGGCCGGAGAACGAATCCCATCCCACAAAAACAGCCTCGCCAGCTAAACCCATCAGCTCTATCATCCCCACAGATATTACAGATCACTCAATCAGCAGCTTAATAACACACTCCGGTTACTTCAGCATCGCAAACACTCGTCTGTTTACTCCGTAATTATCCACAAACATGTGAAGCAACTGCTCATATTTTAGGCTGAAATGAATCTCCAATGGGACAAAAATAACATTAAAGGAACAAATCATCCAATAATTAAAAATCTGTCATCATTTACTCAGCCACATGTTGATCCAAACTTTATTTGTGACCCTGGAGCACAAAACCAGTCAAAGTATTTTTGAAATTTAGATAAATAAGCTTTACATTGATGTATGGTTTGTTAGGATCGGACAATATTTGGCCGAGATACAACTATTTGAAAATCTGGAATCTGAGGGTGCAAAAAAATCTAAATATTGAGAAAATCATCTTTAAAGTTGTACAAATGAAGTTCTTAGCAATGCATATTACTAATCAAAAATTAAGTTTTAATATATTTATGGTAAGAAATTGACAAAATATCTTCATGGAACATGATCTTTACTTAATATCCTAATGATTTTTGGCATAAAAGAAAAATCGTTAATTTTGACTCATACAATGTATTGTTGGCTATTGCTACAAATATACCCCAGCGACTTAAGACTGCTTTTGTGCTCCAGGGTCACATTTTGTCTCTGGAACAAAAACAGAGATATTAATCAAAATGTGAAAAAAAAACTAATATTTTTACATTTTAGAAATATGTTTAGAAATAAAATTTAAAAATGAATATATTTTAAAATAAATAACATAAAAAGTGGATTTTTTTATTTAATAAATGTTTTCATAAAATAAAAAATATATAAAATTTTGTGTTATTTAAATTTGTTTATTTTAAAATATATTTATATATACATATACAAACACATTTATAAAATAAAAAGTTAATGATAATTTAATTTTTAATTGTGACATTTTGATTAACATCTTTATTTGTGTTCCAGAGAAGAAATAAAGTTACCCCAAATAATTATGTTTAATTTTTGATTTTATCAATATAGTATAAACATCACCATCCACTTTCATTGTTATTTAAATGTATTTATTTTAAAATACATTTTTGCTTCATTTCTAAATATATTTAGAAATAAAATTAAAACATATAAATATATTTTAAAACAAATTCCCCATGAAAGTGGATATTTTTTCATTTAATAAATATATTACATGTAGAAATAAAAATATATAAATATATTTTCAAATAAATACATATAACTGACAATGAAAGTGGATGGTGATTTTTACCATCAACCTCTAAAATTACAACAAAAAACACCATAAAATTACAATTAAAAACAATAAAATGAGTGAATGTGATCATTTTATCAAAATCAGTTTTACAGTGTAGTTAGTACATGTTTGCAAATGCAATAATGTGATTAAATGAAACCGTATTGTAAAGCGTTAGCATCAAATCAACTTAAATATGAATCCTTTTTAATAAATATGCCACTAAAGAAAGACAACAACAATCCTTTACAAGCTACAAAACACAGAAAGCTCTTGCAGGATTATCGCTCCATTAATTTTAGACAAACACATTTGCACCTGAAGCTTCAAAAGCCTCGACACCTGAGACAAAGATGAAGACGCGCTGCAGGCTGAAGAAACGCAGCGCTAATCGAGTGAAGATCATCTGCCCTGCGGCGAAAGAAGGGCGATGAACGTAGCACAAGGTATCCGAACTAAAAATGTGTCCCATTCACGTCTTTATCAAACCTGCCTGCTACTAATATAACAATGTGTTCAGACAGATTTGAATAGTATTACATAAAACAAAATCACACAGATATTCAAAAATCTGACATACAGGAAATAAACACATTTTAGATCACCAGATATAATTATGTCTATAAAACACACGCTCGTTGAGACCCAGATGCATAATTTTATAAGTTAGAACAACTTAAACAGCAACAAACAATAACCAACCAAAGAATCAACTAACTGCGATCATCTAGCCTTCTATTAAACATTAAGAAATGATTTCCTCATACCTTTAGGTTACTCAGTAGTGCTGCATTAGTTGCGCGGGAAGTTTGTGTGTCAAATGTAACTTTATAAAACGGATAGTTCCGGTCCTTGATTCTGATTGGCTGAGCCACGTTCGAAGCTGTTCGCCTTTGTTTACGTTTGTCTGTTGCTCGGCAACCACTTTTTTGGAACCACAACTGTTTCTGAGGAGCTACATTGTTTGGAGGAAGAATACTGTTTTTATTAATATCATTACACTTTATTTGCTCTGTTTTATTTTGTGAAACCTTACTACGTATATGGAATAACCGTTTTATAAAAGCAATAAGCCCCGTGTCTTGGGGCTTGTTGCTTTATTGTGAAACGGACTGTCCTAAATTGTTGCTATAGTAGCATAATATTAATGCTAGAAAGCGGTGTTAATTTTGGAAGCTAATTTTGATTTAGTTGCAGTCATAGTCTTTTGACGAAAATGCCATTTAGTTTTAGTCATATTTTAGTCATCTGAATTGTTTTAGCTTTAGTCGTTTTAGTCGACTAAATATCATACAATTTTATCTACAATAGATTTAGTCGACTAAAATCTAAATGGTTTGGTCAAATTGTAATACATTATTATTTTTTATTATTTCTGTTTTGGTTATTTTAGTACATCGGGTTAAGCTAAGCTTATAAACTAAATGAAATAAGTTTTATATATATATATATATATATATATGTATTTTATTATGTAATAAAGTGTTATTTACAATATATATATATATCTCAAATAATACATATAAAACATATTTGTATTGATAGATAGATAGATAGATAGATAGATAGAACAACATGGATCAGCAGCAGCTGGATGCAATAATCGCATGCCAATGTGCATTGGCTCGTTTAGTTTACACTCGAAGTAGATTGGTCCCTCTAAGCGAGATCCCAATTTCGTCGGTCATCCGACGTGACGTCTCCGTTCCCTCCTTCAGGGAACGAGGGTTACCATACGTAACCGAGACGTTTTACAATATATGGCTATTACTGTCATTGTTATTGTTATTATTATTATATTCTAATTAGTTTGGCTTCCTCAAACCCCAGTGTGAATGTAGTTTAGACTGAGACAGTATACCACAAATAAAAAGAGGGTTAAGTCCCCTTTAAAGTTCAGGTACAAATCAATTCACTGACTTTTTTCTGACTTAAGTTTTCTTAGTTAAGAACATGGGTTGCAGCTCTTAATTTTGAACTCTCAAAGTGCATTAGATAGAATAATTTAACTTTAAAATGTACAAAATAAAAAAAAAATCAATTTCTTCATTTGTCTTTTTTTTTTAAATCTTAATTTTTTTTAAATATCACAATAAATATCGTATCATGAGATTTTTACATCATTACATCCCTAGTATATAGTGGAGTCATCTGTAAATATTTTTTATTTTCTCAGGGTTTTTATATTTTCACTGATTTTCTCGAAAGGACAACATACACTAAAAGGACAACAGAGTCACTAAAATAAATAATAATAATAAAAATAGGAATTTTTTGCATGCTTACAAAATTTACGAATTTCTAGTTTTATATAACCTACTCCTTTGTGCATCACTGCCATCTTACTTTAAATAAAACACGAGCATGGAAGCACATGAATAGAGATCTACTTGCTCAAAATTGAGCTTTCCTTATGGAAGCTACCTCTAAAATCAAGGCCTAATTTAACACATCCTCTGTGGCGGCGGAGAAACTATGACACCAAATGAGCTGATGGCATAATAGGCTGTGTGCATTGTCCTATTTTCCAAGATCAAGGGTCTATGAAAAAAGACTGGTACTGCAAAAAAAGTGTTCAAAATTTGGCTTTCATTAGGGCACTGTGTCATATTTTTTTTAACAGATAATCTGTGGTGGCCAAGAAACCACACTGTGAGATGGGCTGATGGCACAATAGGTAGCTCAGTGTGCATTGTCTTATATGCTAAGCTTAATGGTTTCTCGTGCGCACATGAAAATCTGTCTTTTTTAATTTATGCAAAGGTCCTTAAGGGCCTTCTAAGAATATCGTGAGAAGAAACCCAAAGCACTTATAACCTGCATTTTGCATAGTGGAAAAGTGCACCTTGAATTCACTCAGTCATGCTTGACAATCACTAAAGAATCACTAAACACATTTATTTTCATTAAACTCTATTATATAAAGTAGAGCCCGACCGATATATCGTTTTGCCGATTTTATCGGCTGATATGAGCCTGTAACAGATATATCGGTATCGGCGAATATGCCACCGATATGAAAATTTTTTTTCTACAGAACATAAAATGCAGATAAAATGCTTGTAAATGGTGTAATTATATAGTTTGTCCAGCAAACTAGTTTTGACTGGTACTGAACTATAATATACACAAAGAATATCGGCCGATATATTGATATCGGTGTGTTTTTACTCCTTAATATCGGTATCGGCCCCCAAAAACCCATATCGGTCAGGCTCTAATATAAAGAGTAAATAGGGGCAAAGGTCTGGAAATGCAAATATTTTTTCCATACTCTGCTTTCTTTTTCCCATACTTTTCCAGACCTGGAATTTACTTAAATTCCAAACTTTTCCAAACCGCATAGGAACCTGTTTCTCTGTGTTTCTGAACGCACAGGAAAACATTACATTAAATGTAACACTACATTTTAAAACATTGTATATTGAAGTAAATTAAAATGTACTTTTATTATGAATTGATTGCTTTGTTCTACTTTTCTGAGTTGTTTTGGATAAAAGCAGCTGCTAAATGCATATATTTAAACGTAATGTAAAATCAAATAGAAATAAAATATGAATCAGTTTAAAAGCATCATATAGTAATATGTTACGACTGAGAAAAACAAAATAAAGTGATTTAAAACTAGAGAATTTAAAGTAAAAAACAAAAAGGTGAAACATAATACTATATATACGGGCAAAGGTCTGGAAATGCAAATATTTTTTCCATACTCTGCTTTCTTTTTCCCATACTTTTCCAGACCTGGAATTTACTTAAATTCCAAACTTTTCCAAACCGCATAGGAACCTGTTTCTCTGTGTTTCTGAACGCACAGGAGGAGGAATTACAGGACGGCCGTCTACATTTCTCCGGATATAACACCGCGTCCTGCGGGAACGTGAAGGACGGGACGACGGTCAACACGCAGACCAACGCCAATCCGCCGCCGGCCGTCCCGAAGGACACAGACGTGAACCGCAAGAAGTTTGTGGACCGAGCGAAGAGGATCGACACCGTATCACGCGCCGCCTTCCCTCTGGCCTTCCTCATCTTCAACGTCTTCTACTGGATCACCTACAAGATCATCCGACACGAGAGCGCCGGCAAAACCTGATGCAGACACAAACACTGGGGATAATCAACCGCATCGACAGTATTTGGACATCTGATCAGCTTTTGACGGACGGTTTCGTACGAAAGACGCTGTTTTATACGATTGTCTTTTGGAGTCGTCACTCTTCTCCTCTTTCTAATCACAGCAGCACATGTTTTACTGCACAAACACAATATTGTGGATTTATGAGGATGAGTCTCACTGAACCCATCGATGTCCAGGTTATATCAATGGAAATATTACATATTATTAAAATGCTATTAATTAAAAGTCGGTAAATATAATGTAATAAAATGTTCTATAATTAAATTAAAAATTATATTTGAATAATTAAAATTAAATTTTAACAATACTTTCAAAATACCATATTCAATTTTTTCAAATATATATTTATAATATATAAAAAATATTTTTATTTTTAATTTACATACCCACACCACACAATTTATATACAGTGGGTACGGAAAGTATTCAGACCCCCTTAAATTTTTCACTCTTTGTTATGTTGCAGCCATTTGCTAAAATCATTTAAGTTAATTTTTTTTCCTCATTAATGTACACACAGCACCCCATATTGACAGAAAAACACAGAATTGTTGACATCTTTGCAGATTTATTAAAAAAGAAAAACTGAAACATCACATGGTCCTAAGTATTCAGACACTTTGTATAATTTCAAATTTAATATATAAATATAATATTCTATTTTATTATATTATATAGAATATAAAAACATTACATTAAATGTAACACTACATTTTAAAACATTGTATATTGAAGTAAATTAAAATGTACTTTTATTATGAATTGATTGCTTTGTTCTACTTTTCTGAGTTGCTTTGGATAAAAGCAGCTGCTAAATGCATATATTTAAACGTAATGTAAAATCAAATAGAAATAAAATATGAATCAGTTTAAAAGCATCATATAGTAATATGTTACGACTGAGAAAAACAAAATAAAGTGATTTAAAACTAGAGAATTTAAAGTAAAAAACAAAAAGGTGAAACATAATACTATATATATATATATGTATATAAAAACATTGTATTATATTATATTTACCGATATGGAGCTTTTCAGCTCTACCCATAATTTATAGGAAAAAAATTTTCCTCAGCTGTCGTCTCAGTTGGTTTGAATTATTAATAACACATAATACTGAAGATCACAGATGGAAAGCGTCTTTGGTTTTGTCTCATTACAGTAGGGTATGATGTAGATTTGTCTGTTTCTCACGACTGTGACGCATAATCAGTTGTTTGGAGATGTGTTGAGTATCAAACTATTAAACGCTGCATATGCTGAACATTTTCATATTTCAGGTCCACTGAGCCAATTATTGGGGATCAAACGATCGTGATTAGATAATGAAGATGTTGCGAAACCAATTGGCAAGATGTCTGTCCTAAACTGTGATGTCTTGCGGACATCAATTCCTCTGCAGTGAATGGGTGCCGTCAGAATGAGAGTCCAAACAGCTGATAAAAACATCACAATAATCCACACCGCTCCAGTCCATCAGTTAACATCTGGAGAAGACAAAAGCTGAAACAAATCCAGAATTAAGATGTTTTTAACTAAAATACATTGAGTCCATAATCCATAAAAAGTGCATCTCCTGTTGTCTCTCACATCAAAATCCAGCCACATATTTTAGAGCTGGTGCTTGATCTGTGCAGATTTCTCTCCTGATTCAGACCAGAACACTTTTTCACTGGAGGAAGCATTATTATGGATTATGGACTCATATTTTAGTTAAAAAGGTCTTAATGCTGGATTTGTTTCAGCTTTTGTCTTCTCCAGATGGTAACTGATGGACTGGAGTGCTGTGGATTACTTGTGGATTATTGTGATGTTTTTATCAGCTCTCTGGACTCTCATTCTGACGGCACCCATTCACTGCAGAGCATCCATTGCTGAGACACTGATGGAATTATACATTTCAAGAAAACAGTAATAAAAACAAGTCATCACACTCACTGTTACAGCTGATCTCATACAGACAGTGATGAAGCTCCAGACGGCTGATGCTGATGCTGATGCTGGTTTCCATGGTAACAGTGGCAGCGGCGAGGACACTTGAGCTGGATGATTGTCAGCGGTGCTTGTGTTTGCTCCGTTTCATCTGAAACGCATGACTGTTATGAATCGTGCTGATTATTTGACAGAAACACCAACATTAAATACAGAAAATGATGCAATCAACTCTGAACAAACTGAAATCATTTATCTTAGTCAAAAGTAATGTGCATTTTTCTTTTGTTAGTTTATTTATATATGTGCAAAACTAGAAAACCAAATACATTTCAATATTTGTAATAAACTGCCAGTTTCTGCCTCTCCAAGAGAAAATCAGAGTATTTTTGTGGAAATCCTCAGTGTGTCTGAAACAGCTGTATTTCAATCAAAGGCTTCCTTCTCCTAAGACGCCTCAGCAAACGCATCTGATCCGTCAGTGAGAAGCTGCTGTTGTTCCTCAGGATGCTGATCTTCATGTCAAACGTTGATTGATCTGCAGACTGAAACACAAGAGCATCAGACACTGAAATCGTAATACTCACAGACGTGCTGCCGATTTCCCTCCAAAACGATGTCACTTCCTGGAGATGAGGCTTTAACCAACTGGCTTTTATTTAGAATTTGGATGTAAAGTGATATTAGAACACAGGAAAAAATAATATATAAATTATTTGGTTAAAAAAAAAAAGTCTTGGAAATGTCATACAA